TGGCACAAGAACAGAGCCACAGACCAGTGGAACAGATTAGAGACCCCAGAAATTAACCCAAACATATATGGTCAATTAATATTTGATAAAGGAGCCATGGACATACAATGGCAAAATGACAGTCTCTTCAACAGATGGTGCTGGCAAAACTGGACAGCTACATGTAGGAGAATGAAACTGGACCATTGTCTAACCCCATATACAAAGGTAAACTCAAAATGGATCAAAGACCTGAATGTAAGTCACGAAACCATTAAACTCTTGGAAAAAAACATAGGCAAAAACCTCTTAGACATAAACATGAGTGATCTCTTCTTGAACATATCTCCCCGGGCAAGGAAAACAACAGCAAAAATGAGCAAGTGGGACTACATTAAGCTGAAAAGCTTCTGTACAGCGAAAGACACCATCAATAGAACAAAAAGGAACCCTACAGTATGGGAGAATATATTTGAAAATGACAGATCTGATAAAGGCTTGACGTCCAGAATATATAAAGAGCTCACACGCCTCAACAAACAAAAAACAAATAACCCAATTAAAAAATGGGCAGAGGAACTGAACAGACAGTTCTCCAAAAAAGAAATACAGATGGCCAAGAGACACATGAAAAGATGCTCCACATCGCTAATTATCAGAGAAATGCAAATTAAAACTACAATGAGGTATCACCTCACACCAGTAAGGATAGCTGCCATCCAAAAGACAAACAACAACAAATGTTGGCGAGGCTGTGGAGAAAGGGGAACCCTCCTACACTGCTGGTGGGAATGTAAATTAGTTCAACCATTGTGGAAAGCAGTATGGAGGTGCATCAAAATGCTCAAAACAGACCTACCATTTGACCCAGGAATTCCACTCCTAGGAATTTACCCTAAGAACGCAGCAATCAAGTTTGAGAAAGACAGATGCACTCCTATGTTTATCGCAGCACTATTTACAATAGCCAAGAATTGGAAGCAACCTAAATGTCCATCTGTAGATGAATGGATAAAGAAGATGTGGTACATATACACAATGGAATACTACTCAGCCATAAGAAGTGGAAAAATCCAACCATTTGCAGCAACATGGATGGAGCTGGAGAGTATTATGCTCAGTGAAATAAGCCAAGCGGAGAAAGAGAAATACCAAATGATTTCACTCATCTGAGGAGTATAGGAACAAAGGAAAAACTGAAGGAACAAAACAGCAGCAGAATTACAGAACCCAAAAATGGACTAACAGGTACCAAAGGGAAAGGAACTGGGGAGGATGGGTGGGCAGGGAGGGATAAGGGGGGGGAAGAAGAAGGGGGGTATTAAGATTAGCATGCATGGGGGGGAGGGAGAAAGGGGAGGGTGGGCTGCACAACACAGAGAGGACAAGTAGTGACTCTACCACATTTTGCTAAGCTGATGGACAGTAACCGTAATGTGGTTGTTAGGGGGGACCTGATATAGGGGAGAGCATAGTAAACATAGTATTCTTCAGGTAAGTGTAGATTAAAAATTTAAAAAAAAAAAAGAAAGAAAGAAAGAAAAGGGGGATTACTCCTTAACAGGATAAAACTATTGGTAAATCAAAGATCAACGCATGCTTTAAATATCCTTAATGTTGATCACTTAAAGGGTGTCAGATGATCAGCTATGGAGGTACTCTTTTCTGATAATATTCCTTTCTCTTAATTAAAAAAAAAAAAAAAAAGCAGTTACTGTGTGCTGACCTCCAATGAGTTCTGCACAGTGGTATAGAGGGCATGTCAAAGTGTGGGCAAAGGGTCTGTTTGTTTCTACGCAGAAGATCAAGGCCTAGCTTGGATACCCAGAAAATGAACTAAGATACGATATGAGGAGGAGCTTCCGGCATCAGCACTCTCTGGAGGACTCGTGCCGGGGGATGATCATCAAAAAGCCTCCACAGGGATCCGGACGATGCTGCGGTTGTGGCTGCATCCAGCCCACCGTCTCCTGGACTTGCCATAAGAAGGAGGAGGGAGATGTCTAGGCTGGCATGTGCATACAGTGAGACAACGAATTTGACTGGATCTGTACTGTTGGAACTCAACCAGGAGTTGGGAGGGGTGCAAGTTGTAGCACCCCAAAATCTCATGACTATAGACTATCTATGGTTAAAAGAACATATGGGATGTGAACAGATCCCAGAAATGGGCTGCTTTAATTTGTCTGATGGTTCAAGTACAGTTGGAAAATATCCATCATATCATAGATAAATTTTCACAAATGCCTAGGGTGCCTAAATGGTTTTCTTGGCTTCACTGGAGATGGCTGGTAATTATAGATTTGCTTTGTTTATGTCACCGTATTCCTATTATGTTAATATGTGTGTGCAAATTAGTTAGTAGTTTAAAACCTATACATACTTAAGGTACTATACAAGAAGATATGTCAAAGAAATAATCAATCCTCCCAAGTTTCCTTCATATGCTACATCTATAGCTTTTCTTCTTCCTTCCTAATTACAACCCTTAAATAGAATTCGTGCCTCATATCGAATTTACCGAGTATCATAATTCCTCCAGGTGGTAAAGATACCTCGAGACAAGTGCTGGGCATAGAAGCCACAGGGCATAAATCTGCAAAGAAGTAAAAAGCTAACCTTTGCAAACAATATGGCTTCTCTCTCACTTACCAACTTTACATTTCCCTGTATGGCCCCGGAAGATGACTGGTTAGCCAGAGACGGGTAAGATTCCTCAAGGGAGGAACAACCTAAGACAGGCACAGTCGCAGGGGGGCCATCAGGTGAGAATTTGGGGATCAACAGAGGTGAGGCTCAGAACCTCACCCCCCCTGCTTTGAGAGAAATCTTCTGCATCCGTGGATGTCTTGCTGCCCTTGTCTAGCCTGGATTAATACTTAGTCCATAGGCACACACCTGATCATCTGATCATCTACATTTGCCTTCTTACAGCACTAAACTATGTTTTCTACCTTTATCTTGCATCTACCTACCACTTCAGCATTTTATTAAAAATAAAAATAATAATAATAATAGGAGAAATGTGGGATCAACATATAAATCAAGTATAAAAATCAAACGAATATTCATATTTGACCTGATTGTTTATAGGTCATATTGCATGATCAAAACCGAAAGTTTCTGTGATGAATGCCCTTGTACTGTTCACCATGTAAGAATTTATTCACTATGTAAGAATTCGTTCACCATGTAAGAACTTGTTCGTTATGCTTCAGAAGATTGGAGACTGACGAGAATTAGGCTTGAGATGGATTAATGATTGTACATTGAGCGTTGACCCCCCTATACTGAATTTTATTGTTGTTAACAACCATTTGATCAATAAATATGAGATGCCCTCTCAAAAAAAAAATGTATTTTACATGGTGACTCATACACAAAACAGTATTTACCTTTATTTACTACATGCTATACATTCTATTTCTATTCTATTTAAAATCTTAGTCATAACTCAATTGATTTCATAATCAATGGGTCATTTAAAAAATCTTGAAAAACACATTTCCAGTGTACTTCCCTGTACTGCGCGCGCGCGCACACACACACACCTTTCAGACTCCCTTGCAGCTGCAATCTAGATGTGATTGTTAAGTATATTCAGTTAGATGCATTCCCCAGATACATGAAAGATAGTAGCAAACTGAGGCCACCTTTCTGTTGTTTGGGTGGGAAAGCACAGCCAGGAAGCATTAGCAGACATCTCAGTATCCAGTCACTAGCTTTTGCAAGACTGAGAGGTGGTATAGACCTAGCTGATATGGTATTATAAAACAACTCCACTATTTAATGTTACTATTTTTGCTTTAAAGGTCAATTATTTCTTAAATTTAAAAATCACAGAAAAAATATTTTAAGTCAATCCTGACAGAAACATATACAACTATTTTCCAGACCAAAATTTGAGCAACTTTATCTCTTCTAAAATGTATATGAATCCACTTTGTACAACAATGGTTCCCAGTTACATTTTTATTTCATAGTTGGTAAATTTTCCAAAGGAAAATTGGGAGGATCAACTCAGTTTTCCAAGTAGGAATATTAAAATAATATCACATACTATCATTATTACTTGATGAAAGAAAAGAATACTTTAAATCCAAAAGAGAACTGGAAAAGATGGTCCTTTAAATTGAAAAATGTTAGCCTTATGAAAACTTACTAGTTGTCCTAATTTTCCTCTTTTTACCAAGACCAGTAAAACATTTATCATGGATCTATCTGCAGACTGCTATTAGGGAACTTTTGTTATAAACTATTTAATTTGTTTCCTCCCTCCCCAAAATTATAGAGATATGATTATTCTTCTTTAGCTTCAACTCTTCAAATCTAAATGTTTTAAATCTTCCCTCAATTTTTATCTTTTCATCAAATAAACTCCTAGCTCCCATAGAAATTTCCTCAGATTATATTTGCAAAAGCCTTAGTTATTTTACTATTTACCCCTGATGAGCAATAGGCTATTTATACTTTCAATGAAAATTTATATTGATAATGAATATTCTACCATGACAGAATAAAAGAATGTGAAAATATTCTGATATAGGAGGAGGTTTCATCCCATCTCCACTTATAAGAAGTATCATTTATTTCTGGATCATCTATTCAGACATGAGACTATGATTTGTGGAAAGTGTTAAAACTGGAGATCACTTGTACTTTCAAAACAAAGAAAAATTCATTTTTTTCAAATTTAAAAATAAACTGATTATAGTTACAAGAATTTCTCATTGGCTGATCAGAATTATACCATTAAGTATTCTGCTTAAGTTTCCCTTTACATGAGTAATAACAAAAACCCACAATGATAAACCTTTGGCATACCATTTTCATTATTGAAATCCTTACTTTTTCTTTTGCATAAATAAATACAAAAATATGTTATATTATACCATAAAACCTAATCACCTAAATATTTTTAATTACTTAAATAGCGAGAAGCTGTAAATAAATTGCAGAACAAACACATTAGGAAAAGCTTTCCAGGAGGCTTTCAAAGAAACAAAGAAGGTAGGGTTTACCTCTGATCTCTGCCAAGGAAGGAATGTGATAGCTCCACTGGCATTAGCAAAATCATCGACAAGGTAATTCATGCCATCAGATTCGATCTGCGAGATGGTGTAAAAAACATGCACATAGTCCAGAGCTCCTCTGGTTCGCTCCACCACACATGAAATGGTGGATCCCTCCTCTGCAATCTGAAATTGAACATAAATTATTGAGAAGTATATTTCGATTCGAATCAGTGATAAATTACAATGCTTTCATGAAATCCTTTTTCTATAAACTTAATTCTGTAACTTCCAAAAACTCTATGGAGCTTTTACATTCCTCCAGATATATTTTTGACTGCTAAGAAATGTTTACAACCATTCATTTTTCTCTCTCCTTTACAAGCAGAAAGTTATACTCGGTTAACTGTACATGTAATTCACTCATTGATACCTGCTGTGTGCCAGTCTCTACATTAGATGCTATGGTTACAGAAGATTTTTCTAAAAAGCATGTATGTGTTGATTTTTTCATGTGGATAATATTTTCTTCTAAATATGTTAAGATAATGCTTAAAATTATATGGAGCAAGTTAGAATATCTTCTTAAGTAAGGTCTTCATACTCTTCAGTTCTTAGTCTCAATTCAGTATTTGTATGTTAGAAAACTTATGTAATTCATAGAAAAAAAGGACTAAAACTAAATGGAGCTCAAAATGAAAATCTTAATATATATAGTCACTATTTTTCATATCAACTATAAGCACCTCTGGTCAACATTAGATGGAGCCAGTGTGGTATTAACATTACGGCTAGAGGAAACAGATTTGAAATTTGCCTACAACTAGAAAATAGTCAAAACTGTCAATGAGCATGGAAGCACCAGATGTTCCAGTAAATCCTCTTGAGTTTCACTGAAAATCAGCATCCCAAGTCCCAAGTGCAGCAGGAACTCTAGGGCCACACAGTGAAGATCGAGCACCTGAGGCAATACTCTGCCTGTTCGTTCACTGGCTGGAGAAGACCAAATTGACCTGGTGGCTGTCCAGTGCATCTCCTGGCGGACACTCCCAGACCCAGCCAGAACCACACTTCAAATCCAGTGGTGCCTAAAGCATGGGAGCAGGAAACAAATTCTGGCAGCACTGGGAATGCTGGAGATAGGCCAATCTTACTTCTACCTCTTGCTTCCTAAGCCCTTGTGGTCTAGGTCCTGGGACACAGAACCAGGTATCAGCCATTGGATACACACACTGCATCCTGGAAGACAACGTATCACCCCAACAAGATGAGCTCAAGTCCCTGAGCTAGCACCTCGGCTGAGTCTTTAACAGGCCATCCCACTGTTGTGCTAGACCACTTGCTTCAAGTGCTATGGCAAATAGTAAAGCCAGGGCTGTGGCTGAGTACCCACTGTTTAGCTCCCTCACATAAAACAAGTCCCTTTGAGGCAATGTACTGCAGATTCTCAGGAGAAAAACTAAGGCCGGCATTCAGCTTTCACCTGGTGGTGTGGCAGATGTCCTAAACAAATACACTCACATGCTAAATTAAGTATTAATTCCAATAATAGTGAGTTACTCCCACCTCTTGAGTAAACGGGCCCAACAGATCTATCTATCACTCAGTAGCTTATTGGAAGTGCTTAGCATTGGTGTTTGCTGCTTGCTGTTGGGACATTTAGCAGCAACAGTGTCCAGATTCAACTTGGGAACAGAGATCTCATCCTGTCAGGCCCATGCCTAGCCCCAATCCCTGCCACCACCCTGTTAGGGTGCCTTGCTGGTGGGGCCTGGCTGACATCTGATGGATACCTCACCCTAACTTTCCAGTTGCTGAGAGCCTTTTGGGAAATGTCCCCTCATACTTAGGGTCTATTCCCAGTGGTCTCTTCACACATACCTCTTTACACAAATCTCCAAACTTCCTTAAATAGAGACTTGATTCTTCCAAGCCCCTGAGCATCCACTACGTCATTAGTACTGCTCAGAGGCACAGGTATCTTCATACTTCAAACCACTTCTCCCTCCACATAAAATGGCCACATGGGCTGTTCACGGCTTTGCCCACTCCTGAGTGGGGCAGCAGAGTGGCAGAGCCACTGTCAGCCCCAACACGACACCCCTGAAACAGCTTCCAGCTACCTCAGTTCAACACGTGTGTTACCGGCCACATTTACCTGTTTCTGTCTGCATCTCCGTGCCCTCCCATTTCAGATAATCTCCTTCCTTCACTTAATGAGAACACACAAGCTACAATTCCACTGGTGCCCACTTCCACAAGCAAACTTAAGGTCTTTTTCAAGGTTGCCCTTTCTTTTGCCCTATTTATTGTAGTATTTGAGTATTAAATCATTTCTCGTATAAAACTATTTTTTTAAATTAGGTCCCTATCTTTCTTAAATGTCACTGAGCAAGAAGTACTTGAGCAGTGTTCTAACCCATCTTCCTTGTGAGCTGTTTTCATTATGCATCTTGGGTGGTGTGGTGACTAGTAGGAACTCATCTATCACATATGGCAGAGCTGACTGTTCTGGGGTGGAGCCCCCAACCCTGGAGAGAAGGGGTAGCAGCAAAGAGACCCAGGAGCTCAATACAGCTTTGAATTTAATTCCCACCTGGGCATCTACACTAGCATTTTCATTGTAGCCAAGTGGTACACCAGCAAACATGAGGTGGACAGAGTAAAGCCAAACAGTCCTGAGCCACGTCACTCCACCACTTATCACGCACTCCCAATCTCAGTTATCTCCTCTTGAAATGATCATAATATCCCAACATGTGAATATGCAACCTTTCCCTTTTTAGCCAGAGGCATGGATGAAACAGATCCAAAGATACTCTCAGGAATTTAAGATGTTTCCATACAACTTTTACCAAGTCAGTGAGCACTACCACATCCAGAACTAAGAAAAGGGATTATTCTTAAAGCAGTCATATGTAGAAAAGTTATCTAACCATACCTTCATTTAGTAAAACTTTCATCAAAATCTATCATCTATTGTTTTTGGTTAAAAACAAAAAACAGAAAGACTGTCCATTTTCAATACAGTTGTGTGCAAAAATGTGCTACATATCAAAACTTTTTAAAGAAATTAAAGAATATTTTATACAATAAAGTAAATTCTATTAAGTTCTAATTGGAGAGGAAACTTCAAACATCAAGGGTCCATCGAAAAATTACATATGGTTCTTGGCAAAAATCCACCTTTACAGAGAAATGACATAATGCCTAGATTTGCATTAAAAATTACTTCAGCCAAAGAAAAAGTAAAACAAGATTGGCAAACGGATAATTGTTGAAGCTAGGAGATGAGTTGCTGGGATCCATTCCATTTTCTGTATTTTTGTGCATGGACAAAACTTCCAATTTAAAAAGATTTTTGCCTCCCATCCCATTTCCCTGTCAGAGATTTTGATGCAGAAACGAGGTCCTCAATCAGGATAGATGCCTAGGAATAAGCATTAGATATTTCTGACCAAGCTGTCCATGCAAAACACTTATGGTAATATTGGACTGAGGATGAAATTATTAACACCGAAAGATTAAGACATAGAGAATAAGTAAAACATTTTCCTCTACTATTAAAACGTTCATCTAATTTACTTTAGAATCATGATACAAGCAAATGTTTAGGCCAAAGGTACATAACCAAGTAATAATAATCAGAACCACCATCATTCAGTTTTTTACAAGAAACACCAGGAGCCACTACTCTGTTTTCTCTTTTCAGTCAGGAATTTGTTGAAATTTCAGATCAGCAGAAGAGTAATTATAAAGTTTAACAATAAGAAATTTTTCAAACACATTTTCCTAGAAAAAATAATGCACTATTCTGAGCCAAGAATTGGCTTGCTCTACTGAAATAGGAGATAAAAACTAAATAATTATGCATCCAATTAATTTTTTATTTTGTTTCATGCTTGGGTGATGACTGTGATATCAGATTATATTGGTATCACTTGTATCTAAAAGAATCTATTCAAGTAACATATGGCAGGCACTTAAAAACACACACAGTCCACAGTTAAGTCATATTCTCACTTTTACATCTCAGAATGTCTGGAAATTAATTCTTAAGCCATGAGTTTATAAATACAAAACAATCCCAGTATAAGTTACAAAAGTAAAATAAGGAGACTAGTTAAGTTTTATGAATTATATTATGAAAAGCAATCTCATTACTTTATAACTATGGGGCATACAAAACTGCAGGTCATACAAAAATACTGGCAAAATTGGTGGATAGAAACACAACATAACAAAAGTGCGCAGAATAACAAAATATGGGAAGGCAACATGAGAATGTGGTCAGTAGGCTAAATCCAACAAACATCAGTCATCTGTTCAATGCAGATCCTACTTGGAGTCCAAAGAACTCTGTGGCATGCCCCACCAGGGCTCTAAACTGTGCAAGTTTATTCATTCTTCAATTATAATTAAGCACCTGCTATTTACCAAAACATGGTATACCTGGCTGAAAGGGAACAAATCACAAAATAATTATCATCTCTTTCATTATGCTAAGTAGTAGACTACATCATAACCTACATATTTTCATTATCTGTTCAAGATGTGATTATGCTTATTTTAACTTTAATACTACTTTATCTCATATGAATCTATGAAAAATGTAAAAGCATAACACAACTCAGAAGTCTTAAAGGGACCCATGGCCTTCAGCATTTTTTGAAAGGTTAAGAAAAGTTAACTTTTCAATGTTACTGCAGCAACATAATGGGGAAGAAACAATCTATGGACGTGACAGTGGTTTTTAATTTGTGTAAATGAAGCAAATAACCACAAAATTAAAACTGTGAAGACAATTCCAGGCATAGAGTAAGACTGCAGCTCTCAAATATTTTGGTTTCAGAAACTCTGGACACTCAAAAAATTACTGAGAACTTCAAGGAGTATTTTTCTTATGTTGGTAAAATGTCTTGATATTTACCATTTTACAAATGAAATCTGAAAAAAGTCAAATATTTATATAGTAACTAATTTTAAAATAGTAATAATAAACTCATATGTGCTACCATAAGCAACATATTTTATGAGAAATAACCATATTTTCTAAAACAAAAAAAATTAGGAAAAGGGGGCATTGTTTTACACTTCTGCAAATCACTTTGATGTCTAACTTAATAGAAGACAGCTAGATTTTCACATGGAGCTAAACCAGCATCAACACAATCTATCAGTGGAACTTGTGAGACAAGCCAGCACTGAAAGCTTATTGAAATGGTCCAGAAAGCCAGAGAAACACACAAAAATAATTCCTCATTTTAGGCAGGTTTTTTTAATTTTTGAATTTTTTTCAGTTTGGTTGTCTATGCATTTTAACTGAATCTAAATATGTATTATTTGAACTATGAGCCATTTCATATCTTGGTATTAAAATACATTCACAAGTCAACAAAGATTTATTGAGTACCTACTATGTTCCATTCTAGGTGATAGAGATACAATAATGAACAATAAGACCTTATTACATTCAGAGCTCTCTCACCTTTGTTGTAGGGTAGAAAGGAATAGCCACTAAATACGCATACTTATAAATAACAAAGGGAATTTAAAAGAATGATCAGTGCTACAAAGAGAAGTAAAACTAGGTGAAAGGACAGAGTAACCAGTTGGGAGAAGGGGAGGCAAATCATTTTAAATAAGAAAGTTGTCTTTGAGATGTCTCTGGAGCTCACACTGGAATGACTGATACTGAAAATCTGGATAAGAATGTTCCAAATAGAGAAGCTAGGAAGTGCTGGTGGCCTGAGACTGGAACCGAAACATGCTGATGAAAGGGGAGAATTACACAAGAAGTCAGAGCCACAGGCCAGGTTGTGAAGGGAACTGAAGGGAAGCTGATTTTACATGGTACCGTAATAATTATCACAAACTGTTGGAAGCCACCTGTCTTTTTTAAAATAGAAATGATGATACTAAGGGGAGACAATAGATTAGAAATCACAAGATGTAGGTTCAAATTCTGGTTCTTCCTATTGTATCTCAGGAGCAAAAAAAGAAAAAAAGAAAGAAAGGAAAATGAATATTTAGGAAGTACTAGTAACTGCCAAGCTTTGAACCAGGTAGTTGATCCTGTCTCATTTAATTCAACTTCGGTTGATTATTTCCTTCAGGTCTCTAAGTCTCAGTTTCTAATCCTATAAAGTGGAGAGAGTAATAATATCTGTTGCAGCTATGTTATGAATTGTCAGAGGTGAATTAAAAACTTCACATGTAAAGTTCCATGATGACTGAACATCATTTAAGGTATCATTATAGATGAAGATACTTCTTTTTTAACTTATAGATTTGTATGACATTTGCCCTCCCTAATCTAGGATATTATTTGTATTTCTGGTGTGGACAAAGACCACTATTTGCAGATCTCTTATGATTGCCACCACACCAAAGAGCTAAGAGGGGCAAGAAGATAGTCTAGAGAGCTAGGTACCCCAATGTGAGGTACAATAAGGCCTCTGACCTAGATACGTTTCTCAGGCTCTATCCAGTCATGTTTTTCTTAATTGCTTCATTTTGCATATACATCCTTCTAGACCTATGAGACTCAAAGAAAAAGACTCCTTCCTGTTCCTTGGCATCCGTTCATGGACATGGAGCTGTTGCTGTCACACACACCTGTGGAGTAGTTTCATGAGATCTCACATTACAGAACAGGAAAGCAAGATGATTACAAATCTTTGAAAACTTGGAAAGAACTGATAAGGAGAGTCAAACAATCTAATGAATTACTCTGACCAAGAACGTTGATAAGAAAGGCATTTACACCCCATGTGGAAGAACGCTGTAACTAACTTAAGTGCATTTCACATGGGAAAAAACGCTCAAAATATTTTATTTTAATGAAATTTCAACTAAAATTATTCATAGAAGCTTTCAGTATATATTCTCATTTACTTATGCAGCATTCAAATACTAGCCAAAATTACACTGCATGTAGAATCTAACTATGCATTCTGTGAAATGCATTACACTTAAAGATAATCTTCAAAGTTTTGTTTCCTAACTTGTTACAACTTCTATCAACTCACTAAGCTTCTGATTCAAATTGTGAAGTTAAAAGAGTAAAGATCTTAATTTACGCTTACAGCCACTTGCTCTAGCATACTTTTGAGCTTAGAATACATTCACAAGCAATTTTACCAAATGAGAGAAAACCCACTCCCAAATAAATCTACCTGCAATGAATTTTTGACTCCAAAATTCTCCAAACTCATCACTTACCTCTGGAATACAAGTTCCTGTGAAACCAAACAAGCCATTGGCATTGTCACTTTTTTGTATTATTAATCTTGCTGTGCTTTTCTCTTCAGAAATTCGAGCTCCTCCATATACAGAGACTAGTTTAAGAATGAATAATTCTTCTCCTTCCTCTTCATTGTCATCTCTTGCAGAAATAATGAATGATTTGTTAGTTTCTCCCTGTCTGAATTCCAAATATCCAGAAACAGGGTGCAAATCACTCTTTGCTGGCATGGCATGAAGTTCAAAAATTTCTTCAAGGGTCAGTTTTCGCTCATAGGACCTCACATCCTGCATCAAACCTGTAAATCGGTCCCTGCCATTCATTCCTGCCCCAATTCTCAGTATTCCAGGACCTGAAATTAGAGATGGTTTAAATGCTACCATATTCACAACTATCCAAGGTTTAAATGCTATAATATTCACAACTATCCTGTCCTAAACTATAAATATGATTAGGAAAGTGAAGCAATTTTATTGAAAGGTTTTAGTAGGTAAGTAAAGCTTTTGCATAACTAAAATACAATCAAATGAAAGGTATTTTCTGTTATGAAGAAAATGAATCAGTAATCACTGGTATTTAAGACATTCGGTACTGAAGGATATTTTATACATGTGTATATACGTGTATATATTCGGACTGACATTTCTTCCAGTAAATTTTCAGATTTCCTTGCCCACCTACAAATGCAGTTAAGCAATGGATTTATTATTTTAAACTTAGTGTTAAAATTCTTTGAGAACTTCAAGGTTCGACCAATTAGAAATTCATTTTGAGTTAAAGTTGTGAGAATTCGGCAAAAAAAGCTTTTGTGGACCAAACTTAACTCTTTACCCAAACAACTACTGCAATGGATGTAGAAAAAGGAGTACTTCTTCCCAGAAACATCATTACATGCAAATCTTAGGGACTGTTTCATGATAACATGCAACCCAACTACATTACTATGTATAGTTAATACATATCAATAACAACTCTTTTCAGGAATTCACCAATTCTTATTTATTTACTCATTCTCTCTCTAATAACTCAGCTAAAATATTTATGTTGAGATGAAAGTTTGGCAGTGGTTTGGGCAAAAAGTACAATATTTCTTATCAACATCATCAATCAAACTTTTATAAGCACCACTCAGAGAGCTCCTTTAGGGTGGTCACAAGCAGACTGCACATCATCATCACAGTCACCCCGGGCCTCCTTCTCCAGTGGTTCAAGACTGACCACATAGTAATGGGAGTGAAATACCTACCACAGGCAAAATAGGGACAAACCTCATAAACAGACGTTCAGGTGGACACATTGCTCAATTGTTTACATAAATTTAAAAACAGGAAATGCTTATCTTATGGTCTTAGAAATAGCAGTAGTGGGTGGGCAGGTCAGTGTTAGTGACTGAAGAGCCAAAGGGAGCTCTGGGTTGATTGTTTTTTTTATCTGGGTGCTTGTTACATGGGTGCTAAAACTGATGAATATGAAGTGCTAAAAATGTCATCTACCTCTCCACAGTTTTATATATTCTGTAATATATAACATATACTATGGTTCATTAATAAATTTAATACATATATACATATCAATTTTCTTAGGTCACAAATTACAAAAACAATCTAAATTCCCTGCAGTAAGCTAAACAGAGAAAAAAAGATACCAGTTCTCACTTCCCCCAGTCTTTCCCATTCTCATTCTACCATGATGCCATCACCAAGAAATAATGTTAACACACATATGTATATATTCCCACAATCAAACGATGAATAATTTAATGCCATTAAGGTTCTGTGAGCACAGTCCTTGGCATTAGTCAGCAATGTGTTCATGTTGTTTCTTTCGCCCATCTCTTTTCCTACTTAAAAAAAAAGAAATATAACTAGACATCTAATGCAGGAGGTTTAGAAGGAAAATATTCTATTAAGCTATAAACATATAAACTCAGCTCCACTCTCTTACTAAATAAAGAACAGAATGAAATCATAGGGCAGAGGGGCTAGAAGGAATTGGTGATTACAATGGAGACCACCAATATTTGTGTGTAAACATGCACACAGATGTGTTCCTCAAGGAAAAAGCACATGACCCATTTTGAAGACAACAAAGATTGTCTCTTCAAAGCATTCCAGAGAATTCACCAATTTACCTCTTGATACTATACACCCCTATAATTGCTGGATTTTTTTTAAATGTAATTTTATTCTTCTGATTCCTCTTTAATCCTAACCACCACCACCAAGAACCCCACCACCCTGCAGCCGCCTGGCCTGCGCCCTGCCTCCAGCAATACTGAGTCAGTTGTAATTCCCCAGATTCACTATGCTAGTTCACATTTCTACACCTCTGCTCTTTTCTCTACCTGGAATGTCATGCCCCATCCCTCCTACTACCAGAAGAGGAATAAATGTTCCTCCTGTATAATTTTTTTCCTTCTTCTAACTATGTACTGAAGTGATCTGTATGCACATCTTTCTTCTAGAGCCTTTGTCAGGCACCTCAAGAGCGAAGACTCTGCCTGATCCATTTCTGCCATACTCAGTACAGAACTCTGAGTCTTAGTGCGCACATAGCTTTAAAGAAATTAAACCAATACACAAGCAGATTTTTAAATACCTGTTAGAAATAAAAACATTTATAATTCCAAATTTGGTGCACTACATGTGAAGATGACACTCACCATCAGTAATGGCTTCTCCTTTCAGACTCTTGATTCCTCTGGGCAATGCATTTCCATCAAGGTAGAATTCAATTATACCATCGTCCAGGGTAATTAGAAGATGAAGCCAAACATTTTCTTCTAAGTATTTCATAACTGTTGTCTTGGCAATATATGTAGCATTGGAACCCACAGTTTGGTAATGAAGGGAAAGTGTCACATGGGATTCATTGGTTTGAATTTTTACCCCATAGTAGATGCTTCCATTACCATCATCCTTCGCTATAACAAATCCATTTGTATTGGCACTGGGCATCACCCAAGCTGAAAATGTAAAGTTGGCGATTGAGTTGTTACGGGAGGGACGGTATTTGGGATTCACAGTTCCAAATGCCCCCTCTAGCCCACTGAAGTACAAAGCGTCTGTTCCACTATGGTGACGCCGCAAGCGCGGCTGTAAATGCACAGTGCTGGGGAAGATTCCAACCAGCAAAAAGTCTATCATCGGAGGCAAACCAGCAGTAAACTCACTGGACAGTATTTCCCAGCCTACTCGTACATCACCAAAGGTACCCTGCTGCCTCAAAATGGTAAAATTGGTAATATAAGACATATCATCTTCTGAGAGGACATCTTCTGCCACTTCTCTCTCCAGGCACTCTGGATCCAGGATGAAAACTCCAAAGGGATCATCATTGAATGGAATCATTACTGTCACCTGGAGGTTGGTTCCTGCTAGTTGGCCTCCAAGACCTGGGGACCCACCTGTGATAAGAAAATTTATAATGAATGAGAATCCAGAATTTGATGCACTTTCTCGCGTAAGATGAAGACAAAAGGAATTTGTTTAGCAAACTTCTGGTTAAATAATTTGCTCAGTGATCAATGAACAGTAGAGTCACTATAAGGCTTTCACAACACTTTCTGTTGTATTCTGGTTCAGCATAGATTCATTAATAGCCACTCAAGCTTGAAATGAGGATATTAATGAGAGAGGGTTTAATTCCTGTGCCTAAAACCAAGAGGGGTTGGAAAACTGTTTAAATTATGGCACAAAGACCATAGTCCTTTAGGCTACCAAGAATCTGTACTTCCTAATTTCCATCAATGTTTGGTTGGAAAAAACCTATTTAAAAGTCTGAGAATAGATTTAAGTTTCCACCCATAAAACTTAACCAAGCTAAAGCCAGAGAACGAATATTAAAAATTAACATTTCAATGAAAAAGAGTACTGCTGACATTTAAAATCAGATCATCAAAATACACTTAATTTGCTATTAATTGGCCTTTTTATTTGGCTCTAATTACTTAAATATGAAATATCAAGTTTTGGTGATAAAATAAAAAAGATGGGAAACACAGCACCTGAAATGTTTACAAGCTTTAAAACATAAAATTCATTGAATTCAGGAATTTTATCTGGAAAAGCATGGAGAATTATTGGCTTGGCTCCTTCTCCCTCCATAAAATTAACAGTTCCTGAAGTTTCGTAGAACTCTTGTCCAGTTTGCAAAGCAGAATCATTCTGAAATAGCTGCCAAGCCACAGAAACACTGCCGAAGTGTCCTCGGTGCCTCAAAATCCTACATGACAAATTAAGGAAAATTAATTTTTATGTAAAATGCTTAAGTAGTGGATCTAACTCTAATGAAAGCTTTCTGTGTTCTATCAGAAATACGCTTTTTTTCTGTTTATCATCTTTAATATAAACCAGCCAGTTAGTCCTTACTTAGTAACCATGAAGACTCTCGGAGAAGGGGAAAAAGGAGGTAGAACTTTAAGTAAGGAAGATAAGCAGTCTTAAAAGTCATAATTGTCTTCAAAGTCCAAACCGAAAGTTATGTTCTAAGCCCAACAGAAAAATATTGAGATGAGAACTGGCGAACATTCTTCAAAAGCCAAGTACAGAGTGAGAGTAGCCACACATCATGTGAGAACGAGTCCCGGGAGGCCCTGAGTAATTCAGGACTCCAGTCCTGACACAGCATGGAAGTTGGGAGTGAGGAGGGTGGGGGCAATAATTTCTGCTTACCAGCTAAAATGCAAGGATTTTTTTTTTTTAACAAAAAGCAGTAGCTTAACCAAAGTTTACAATTCAGTCAGAATACCAACTTTGACATTATTCAATTCTTAACCATTTATTGTAATTTTGAAAGATTAACAACATATCAAATTTTTGCATATTTAAAGCTTTTATTTTATCTAATTTTGATTTTGCTTTATCCAAACATGCTTACCAAAATGCATTGGTCTTTCCTTCTTCTACTGCTTTGTCTAAAGCCTCCAAGGAAAAAATACCATTTGGGTCATCATTAGCTTCAATTATCACTGTAGCTAGTGGATATTGATATACTACTGTATCACCTAAATCAAAAGTGGAAAAGCCAAAACAACAAAAAGTAGTTAACTTACTATTAAATTTGTGTTTTTAAATTACAAAACAGCTTATAATTAAGTTCAAATTTCAGCAAAAATTTCCTCACTGAAGGTCGTAAATGAGATACCTAAATAAGCTTTTCTTTGAGAAACTGTTTAATTACAGAACTACTTTCCTGAAAAACGTAGAAGATACTTTTCTTCACAATATGAATATCATTTCAGTAATCTGGTTAGAAATCAAAGACATAGCTTTACTTAATTTCAAATTTTGAGGTAGATTCTTTAATTTCATAAAAGATAATGAAAGGATTACACAATAATATATTAATTCCTACTTAAGTATAATCACAAGCTTGAGAGATTCCTTTTAGATCTCTGCCTTCAGGCAGTTTAATATGGTCATACACAGACCAATGCAATGTTTATGATTTTGAACATGATTCCTCTCTACTCCAATTCTTTCACAGGTTAGCATGATTACTGCCAACACTTTAGGTCCCTTCTCATCACTTCCGAGGTCCTCTTTGTGCCAGTTCTTCCCTACGTGAGCATAAGTCCTTCCCATCTTTACTTGCCTAATTCTTATCACTCCTCAGGACCCAGCTCACACAACACCTCCTCCGGGAATTCTTCCTTGAAGTCCCAAGATAAGCTAAGTGTGTCTCCACTGTGTTCCCATAGCACTTCAGACTCTGGCAATTCTATCACAATTATTGCACTATATTAGTACACACACACACACACACACACACAAATTTTACTGTAAGCTCCTTGGACAAATGCTTCTTAATCAATTCCATGCCCTAACAAAGCAGATGTTCAGTAATTGGTACACAGAAGTTATTTATGAATGTTAGCCGAATTGATGGAAATAAAGCTTTCAGAATTAGATGAAGACAACACCTATAACTAAAAGTATAGGTTTTGTATAGTACAGAAAAAGAAACTCTAAGTAGCAAACCAGCATATTAAAATAATTTACATAAATATACAACTGTACTCAGCCTTACTTGACTATTAGCTAATGAAGGGAAAAAAACACATTAAAAATACATAGTAAATCATTGTATAGAAAATGCTGACAATATAGGGTAACAAAATAACTTAAAATATCATAATAAAAAATCTAACAAAAACAAAAATAGTAAAAGCCAGTTTGGGCAGGGTTCTGCTATCACGTGCACTCTTCATGCAACATGTCATGGGTGGCACTAAAAAGTCATTCTGTTTCTCTGCAGGGAGAACTGAATATATTTAACAAAAGCTCTAAGGATGGCCTTATCCTCTGATCCACTAATTCAGTCTCAGGGTAGATACTGTGAACAGTAACTGTAAGGCATAAACACCCTCTGCCGGTTTCAGTCCAGTTAGAAATGCTGTTTTCTCCATCTCTCCCACCACCCACCCTCTCAGGCCCTCCACATTTTTTTTTCTTACATTACATTTTTTTTTTTTGAGAGGGCATCTCTCATATTTATTGATCAAATGGTTGTTAACAACAATAAAATTCTGTATAGGGGACTCAATGCCCAATCACTAATCAACCCCAAGCCTAATTCTCAACAGTCTCCAATCTTCTGAAGCATAACAAACAAGTTTTTACATGGTGAACAAGGTCTTACATAGTAAATAAGTTCTTACATGGTGAACAGTGCAAGGGCAGTCATATCACAGAAACCCTGCGACTGTGCCTGTCTTAGGTTGTTCCTCCTTTAAGGAATCTTACCCATCTCTGGCTAACCAGTCATCTTCTGGGGTCAGGCCCTCCACATTTTAACATCATAAAAGAGGAGAGAAAAGAGCGAAAGAACTAAGAATGGATGCAAAAGTCACAAATTCTAGAGATTTTTATTACCTCAATCTGCCTAGCTAAAGCCATCAGATCCTCAGATGCCTGGAAAAATACTGAAACAAATGCAGTGGACATAAATGTACACCACAGCTCAGGCCAGTCCTCCAGTCACATCTTGCAAAGTTGGTCTCTGTTCCACCCCCGCTTTCATTCTCTCAAAATCAAATACATATTTCTCCAATGGAACATCTTACAAAATGGAACATCTTACAAAAAACTCATTAAACCTTTCCTTGCAGAGCCACTTTCATTTTCTTTACAAGAGTCTCAGGATGTTTTGGTCCACTGTTTTTATCACTGTGGCATTCCGGTCCTGACAAGAGCTTAACCCCAGGACATTTTGGCCCCAAGGATACCTGGAGTACAATAAGATTCACTAGAATTACACCAAATTAATAAGTGGCGTCAAGAACTTATTTCTAGAGTAAACACAACTAAGACAATGTCACTTCTTCATCAACTTTCTCTACCTCACAGCAAACCTGTTTTCCACTTTCACTTCACAAAAATTATTTTTATCTGTAGCAATTTCTTTCACTTAAATTTAAGGACAATGCTTGGATTCACAAAAATGTTTTTGATCTACATAAGATCTGTGTCTTTTGCAACTGTGAAGTTTCTTCTGCAGCTACTACAAAGACACATTTTTCCTTATCAGATGGTATTTTTTAGCTTTTTCTTTTTTGATATTCTCAGTTAAGCTGGGTGAAAAATGAGAAAGAGAGAATAACAAGAGAGACACAAGTAGAGAGAGTCAAAGATAAAGGAGAATGATAGGGAAACACAGCAAAACAAAATTATGTGACCTCTTCCTTTTCGTCTTCCTCTTTTTGAATATTTCAGTCCAAGAGGCACAAGGTCGGGCACAGGGGGTGGGGGAGCAGGCACTACTGTGACCCAGCACAAGGTCTAAGAGCTCACGCAGGGTGAGGAGGGCATCTCCAGCCGAAAAACACTGTGTTGGGATGCTGGGTACTAAGTAGAGTGGGAAGATACGCACATGGGGCAGGGGGTTTGGCCTAGAGCAGAAGGTAGGTCCCTGGTAGGGAAAGAAACCTAAACTCACTGTGGGAGGGAGGAGGGTAAAAGAAGCAATGTGAAAGCAGTTACATATGGGGGAACTGATCAACTAAATAAACATATTAAAAATAATGGGAACTAGATTTGTTGCTATCAGAAAAGAGGGACAAATACGGAGGAGAAAATGAGAATGAACCATGTGATAACGGACAGAAATGGAGATGCTGGTGTGAACTCATGGTTTGCAATATATACACATGGATACAGAACTCCAGATGTAAAAGTGTGGGTGTATTTACACATAAATATATACTTACATACATACATATATTCCCTATATAAAGCCTGAGGGAAACAAAACTTCAGTAACAATAAGCAGACCCAGTGACCACCCAGATCCTGGTTTCTAAATAATATTCTTCACTAAGAGGAACTATGGCTTCTTGGAAACATGGCTGATTTCAGAGTTGTGATTGGAAAAGTAAAAGATGAGTTTGGAAAAGCTTTACTGTACCAGGAAGTAAGAAAATGCTCAAATAATATGGACAAGTCAAAAAGACAAAAGTCATCTCATACCAGCTACCACTGGCCAAATCTGGGACAATATAACCATCCAAATGCACAATGAAAGTTAAATATAACCTACTGCATTAAAGAGAAATCATGAGTCTATACTGATAAATATTTCAATATAAAAACTGCAAGTTCGATAGTTAACAGGATAAAGTATCTCTCCAAAAAATAATTATTCATTAGAGTAGAGACAGAAGAGAAGCTTGACAGTCACCACCTAAGTTGTTCTCAAAGTAGACATCACAACAAAGGGACAAAACAAATCATGTGCCAACTGAAAGGATATGACAGGAACATAGAATCACTTCTATGAAATTCCTACCATAGCTGCAAAATCTGAATCTAATAATGAGGAAATACCAAACAAGCCCCAAGTGAGGGACATTCTACAAAAACAACTAGCCTGTAATTTCTATATTAAAGGTGATGAAAGACAAGGAAAAAGAGGAACTACACCAGACTGAAGAGATTAAAGAGACACAATTAAATGTGATGCATGATTTGGGAAAGGATCATTTTGCTAGAGAAGACATTATTGGGACAAGTGGAAAAGTTTGAATGGGGTCTGAGAGAATGTATTAATGTTAACTCCTAATTTTAATAGTTATATTGTGATTATGCAGGAGTGTCCTTGTTTATAGGTAAAACACACTACAGTATTCAAGGGTGATGGGGTATCATGTCTTGATCTTATTCTCAAAAGGTTCAGGGAAAGATAGTGCTCTTTACTCTAAAAAGAATAACATAAAAATCAAAATACATTATAGCCCCTCCAACTTACTACAGATGGGACCAAAACATCCTCTGGGCACAAATACTGGGGTCAGAACATCCTGCTTCATTTATAGTACAAAGAAGAAGGAAGAGCCTATCTTTTCCCCCTTGCAAATTATCATTCTACAGTTCCAGAGTCATCAAACACAGCCACCTACAGAACGCAGCTTCCCAACCGGCAGACCCAGCACCCTACTAGGAGGGCAAGGTGCTACAGAATACTGAGGTCCTAAGCTCTTGGGTGACTAGATAAAGCTTAAGGTAGCTTTAGCTAGAAGATTTTTAACTTACATCATAATTTCATATAACACAGTATCATAATTTTCTAGGTATGCTATTTTGTGAAAAAGATTAAAAGTAATGTCATAGAATATACCTGGTACATAAAGGTTCAGCACATATATTCTCCACCCCTTCGTCAAGAAAGCAATGAAACAAACAGTTTTGTGCTTGAACTGTCACAGATGACAGTTAAGTACGTCAAGTCATCTTGGTAAAAGCAGTGAAACAACAGATCTGCCAGAGAAATATTATTTACCTGTTGAATTGGAGAGGAGTACATAAAAGCGCTCAACTGTTTCTGGGATATCATCTTCATTAACAAGTACAGATATGCTCTGCTCTCTACTTCCGACCACAAAAACAAGCGTTTCTCCTTTTTCAATGGAAACAAAGTCTCCCTCTCTTGCAGTAGCCTCCCCGTCCTGGGTAGCATATTGGACAGCGCAGGCAACATCAACAGATCCGTTTCTGAGAACAGTAAAGCCAGCAGTGTCTCCTTCCTGAACCCTCACTACACGAGGTTCTGAAATATTCACAAAGAAAAGAAGTGCGTAAGTTTTTCTAATCCCATCTACATGCTTTTAGGTCACTTTACATTTCTCCCTGCCGTCCACAGTGTCTTTGCTCAAAGGCGCAGTTCTAGTCCCAACTCCTGTAGGAGGCCTCCTCTGTTTGCTTCTAATCAGCGGCCTTCCCTTTGCCATACTTCCTACAGAATGCATTGTCTTCAACACCCCATCTGCCAGTGAAATACATACTATCAGAAAGTCTGTGCCTCCCGTTTTATACACCTCATTTCCAAATTTACACTGTAAGTTCCTTGACCACAGGCTCTGGTATCTTGTTTTATTTTTGCCACAGCAGTTAGTAGAAGGCAGAACACAGGACTAACTCATTAAACACATTTTAACTGAAGTTTAAGAGGATGAATTAATAAAAATCAAGAGGTTTAAAAGATTTCTGCAGTTGTCCACTGAACAGCTGGCAAAAAGGGTTTAAAAAAGAGTTAGACAACAATTAGGTCTCATAAAACTAAAAGTTGTTTCAGGTGTCAAAAGACAGTTTTAAAGAAAGAATTAAAGTGGCAACAATAAGGAATCCTTTTCATATGCCCATTAAATATTAGTTATTATAGGAAGTGACCATCCACCAGGTACATTACTCAGACCCTCAAATGCCTACACTGTATACTGGAAGAGGTTGTTCATTTTTTGCCCACAGGAAATGAAATAGCTTGGAATTTGAAAGCAGGGGGAGAATAGAGCTAACAAAAGGGCACTTACATTCTTTTTCCTTCAGAAGAGATTTAAAAATATTTGTTAAAATGTCAGATTGAATAACAATCATCCAAACAAATCATGAAATCATAGTTAAACAAGCATCAATTGTACTTTTTCAAAAATGTTCAGTTAAAGTATTGAAAAAAACCTATCTATACTGTTTAAGAAAGATGTAAACTCACTCAAATAAGAGAACAATACCACCTGCAAAATAAATGGGGTCATCATTTCTTAGAATCCACAGAGTTGCTGTAGTTTTATTTCCCATTTTAGCTCCTCCAGTGGCATTAAGTAGGGTAATGGTAAATTCCTCCATTTCCTCTGGAATCTTTTGGAAAATGTTACACATGCTTTAAGTCAGGTGATTTGTACAAATAATTCCATTACATATTTTTAAGTCATTTTTTTAAATAGCTCTATTCATAACCAGTACTAAAGTTCATTTGTTTCTGAGGCAGAACTACAATAAACCATTCAAGTAAGACTCAGATGGCCCCAAAATTTTTAAAGTGCATGCATCCAAACGGCGGCCACTTCAATCTGATTCAATATAAAACTTAATGGAAATAGATTTTACCTTATGTATGCTAAAAATAGAAATATTACATAGCTCATATTCTGTAAGAAAATGGAACATATGCTGCTTACAAAAAGAAAAATAATTTTTGACACATTTAGAACAGAGTTCATAATAGTAACCAAAGCCCAGCAAGCTCTCAAAGGCTTCTTAGAAACATCACTGAAGTTTCACGTGGGTATGTCATAAAGACCTCATGTCCATGTCTTAACAAGATGAGATTCCCCACATCCCTCAGCCTTCATAAATCCCCAGGTGGATACTGTGTCTCTTTCACTTCACACACATGAGCTGCTGTCTTTTCCACATCCTAAAACAAGAGTGCTGGGATTTTGTCCTCAAGGGACCAGTTTGAGGGAAAGGATACAAGCTTCCCCAGCTGTTCAAGCACAGAAAGATCCACACTCGTTGATAGTAAGTTCTTCCTCTTCACTACTGGGAAGACTAGCACCCTGGACCCATGAACCATCTGGCCACGGTCCTGATTCAGAAAACTCCCCACAGGACACCTGCTTGGTGGTGCCCTTGCCTTCAAAGGGCCTCAGTCCAAGCCAGCTCTTAACCTCGCCCATAACTGCTCAATCGCTGATACTGGACACCCACATAGTGTCCCTGGGGGTTCTGAGAGATAAAAATGCCCTAAGGGAAACCAAAAACAGTCTTCTCTTTTGGCTTAGAATCAGGTATTCTCATGCCTGAGTTCTTCATCACGTACTTTCATGATAAATAGCCTACCAAATACTTGTATTTAATAAAAATTATTTAATAAAAAATAATTATTAAGCAAAGACAACAAGAGTTATATATATGCAACATTTACCTCATCTGGAAGGGAGTAAATGGTGATATTTTTTGAAAATTCCTGATCTCCAAAGAAAATAGTCCCTTGGATAGGAAATACATCTTGTGTAAAGTCCGGACGAACCACCCACAGTACACTAACATCACCAAAGTTGCCTCGATTTCTTATTACACCATAAACAGCTATGAAATACAAATGTGTATAATACATATTAAACAATTTTAAATGATGAGTAAAGAAATTGCTCAAATAAACAAAAGTAAAAATAAGAACTCTTTTTAATAAAAGCCAACTGTCTGCCTAGCATAGCCTCAGGTGTGTGTGTGCGTGTGTATAATATACATATGTACATATAAGATATATACACACAAGTATATAAACAAATGTATTATCAATTTTATACCTACAGGGGGAATATTAGGCTAACATAAATGGACTCAATCTTTCCTATCAGTTTGGGATTTAAGAGTCATTTTGCATAGGGAACAGAATGGTGATTAATTAGGTACACCTATCACAAAGTCCTACAAGGATATTTGTTACAGGCAGCTAGAGGAAGCTACACACTCAAAAGTGCTTTTCTTACCCAGTCAGACATTGCTCTAAAAATCAACTACCTCTCAATTCATGCCACTGCAATATTTCCCTCATAGTAACTCTAAGTTTTAAGGTTTTCCTATTTGACTTGATTCATTCTTGAGTGTTTGAGTTCTACTGAATATGGTTAATCGAAATTAAAATATAACTGGTGTCACCAATATCATCATAATACTATGTGAGAAGTAAAAATGGCAATCCTAAATATGATCTTGTAAAAACACCAATTTCCATACTACATGTAATGTCTAAGGCAGATGGACAACTAAAAATAACTACTTAACAAATAAACCACATGAGCAGTACAGAAGATAAGAGGCAGAATAAATTACCACTGTAGGTATCATCTCCTTTACTTTCGTTTATCATTACAATTAGATAATCAGAAACAAATTCTATAATCCCATGAGGATCATCATTTTTTAAAATCGTTATGTTGACGACAACAGCATGTCCCAACTTGCTTTCCCGTTCACCATGGCTGCTGAGGACCACCCAGTAATGTTCATCCAACTAAAATAAATGTGGCAAATTAGAGAAAACATGAAGTTGAAATGTTCAGAGTAAATAAAAACACATATTCAAGAATATTAATTCCATCAATTTTTCAGAAGCATACTACTCACTGAAAGGACAAAAAAGCTGATATTATTCCTGAATGATTCTTTAACATTCTCCCATCCATGAAGAGAGACATCAGATATAAGTTTACATTATTCAAAAAGGGAAAAGATAAGCTATCACACTAAACCAAAAGAGTAAGAAGACTGGACTTTATCACTGATAATCCACTCATTGAAACTGGTAAGAGTTAAATAAAATAAAATTAACTTAAAAGCTACATATGCACTGGTGTGCAAACATAATGGAGTAATAGCTACTTCATTAATATAAAACGTTATTTCCTTTAAAAAAATAATTGTATGGACAAACTTCCTTCAGTTCAAAACAATACTATTGAAAGTTCAGTCAGTACAGGTTACATAAAATAAGACAACATAAATAAAGGTAAAAGGTGGGGAGAACTGATCACCCATGGAGTTTCAGATCCTGTGGCATTTCTTTATGTAGGACAAACATGTGCAATTCAAACGTGAATGAGTCTTTGTTTCTTAAGCTTGCTTTGTTTCTTTTCCAAACATAAATACCTCTCAGTCCTTTCTTGCCCACTTCCTTTTCTGTATCTCCTTCGTATTTACAATATAGTAGATACTGTGAGTTTTCCACAAAAGCACAAAGAAAAAAATTAAATTCCATACCTCTGGTATCCCATCCAATCTTGTCAGCAGGGTGATTACAATCTCCCTTTCCCCAGGTTTAAATTCTAATACCCCTGTGTTTCCATAGAATTCATTGCTTTCTCTTGGCTCTACTCGGTAGTGTAGAAACTGCTTAACCAGAGCTCCCCTGGATCGGATGATATGGAGCTCTACAGAGTCTCCTTCCTTAAAAAAAAAAAAAAGAAAGAAAAAGTAAAGAAAGAAATCCACAAAGGTTCAAATCCTTCAAGATTGTTCTTCTTAAATTGCAAGTATGGAATAGACTGAAGTTTCCTTCACACTTACTTTAATAACATAGGGTCCTCTGGAAGCAGGAGAAAATTCAAAAATTCCCCCAGGATCATCATTTTCCAAAATAATCAGGTCACGGCTAGTATACCCAGATTTCAGTATTTGATTTTCCAAAGTGACCCTGGAGGAGCCAGAGGGAAAAAAAGTCATCCACTGCCTGTAATCTTATTTCTGAATTGTGCAGCCTTATTTACAATATGTACCACACTTCCAGGTAATAAGTATGAAGGTTATTAGCAGTTAAATTGAATTTAAGTATAAAATCATTTAAGATCCAACAGTTCTACTTATTTACAGAAGAACTTCTATTTCTGAATTCATATTTTATACATGACTGCAAACACTCCATATGTATAGCAAACATATAGTAGTTAAAGGTTGTAAATATATTTTTATAAAGTATCAAACAGAAAACCTGTAACACATAGTTAGAAAATATTTTAAGTAAAATTGTACACTTGATTTTCTTGAACCACATTACATACAATAATACCAAGTGAATAAAAGTTGGGTAACTGCATGGATTAAAGTAAGCAACACTGATTGAAAATACTCAAAATTATCACTAAATTTTAGAAACATTTTGTGACCTTTTATATGAATCTATTCACCTCAATTTTAATCTCCTACATTTTTTCTTTTATTAAAAAATAAAATGTAGGACATGTACCAAAAAAATGGACTAGAATGAATCTGAGATGTATGAAATGTTATAAAAACACCTGTACATATCTTAAAATAACATATTAAAACAAGACATTCTTTTATTTCTGGTTTCTATGCTCAGAATATAATTAAAATGATCAAAAGGCCTGGGACTGCAAGGCTCTAAGAGTTTAAAAGTCAGCATACTCCTTGAGAATTCTCAATCCTGCAAGCTGCTCTAACCTTTCCAAATGTCACTTTCTGTTGAACCAAAAAGTACTTGTGATCAGACCTCAAAATTACAATGAAGTCACAATTAATACGTAGAAAGGACGGCACACTTCCTATGTAATAGATAATCTGAATTAACATCCTTGCCTAGCTTTTGGAAATCTGTCAACCGACATGTAGCACAATAGTGGCCACAGAAGAGATAGTCCAAATAATAGGACAGTCACTTGTTATATTGTTAGTGCAGTCATATGATTTTCATACCAAATCTGCCCATATATCATTTACATCAATTTCATTTTCATTTATTAAAATTTCCCATGTCCACATAACTAGGAAATAAGAAAACTGGATCAGAACATGAAATATAGAAATCCGTCCTGAGCATTAAACACACTTATTTATAAACTTTCTGCAAATACACTAATGTAAAAAGGCAAATTTTTGAAAAGTTCTTTATACAACAACTGAGAAAATGTAGGCAAGAAATTGTTTAGAGGCACTCAAAAAGCCAATGGAAGAGATGAGAATATTTAACAGAGAATTGGTGATCAATAAACTACAGTGTTCATACAAAATATTAGGTAAGAATCTCACAAGCAAAGTGCACTAACTGTTCTCTAGGTCATGATGTGTCAACTCTAAGTAAAGTTAAAAAGTTAAGTTCTTCAAAACATGTAATTACATTCATTCTCCAACTTTTCATCAGGTATCTTAAATGCATTTATAATTTAAAACTGAGGACAAAAAATACTTCATATAAGCTCGTCTTATCTTTAGAAAATGAAACTACACACAAAGCATGCACAGGCTTTGCACGCAAATCTCTCAGGACCTGTGGTCATGCAGAACAGAGGCCTCGTCCAAAACAATGGCTTGCAAAGCAAAACATTCAGTCACCAAAAACAAGGCATTATTTTGTACACTTACCCAAAATACACGACAGACCTTTCAGTTTCTACCCTGTCAACATAGAAAGAAGCGTGGGAGGTGGAAAAAGGAGACGAGAGGGAGACTCCATTTGCCAAAATCTCACTAAGACTGCTAGAAATTTGAATGGCAGGATAAAAATAAAGCTAAAGAAGTCTTTCTTTTTCTTCCCCCAAGAGCTGGTAATGTTCACTTTATGGGAATTCAGCACACTGGGTTCTATGCTACTAACAAATGCTAGCAAGAGGTCCGGCAGTTCCCACTTAAAGAAGATGACCCCATGGCCAGCCAGCGTGTCAACATCCATTGAAGACATGCCTTTCCAGGTCTGCTCCAAGGCATGGGGGCCTGCCAAGCCCTGGGGCATGCTCACAGACTGCAGCAGCTGAGCAAATTTCATTCAGCCCAACTTAGATTTAATTAGGTTTGAAAAAAATAAAACCCTTCATCCTCAGATCTAAAGCCAGTTGTGCTTTGAAAAAATAAAAACCTTGTAAGCAGAGAAATATATGCCTTTCATCATTTGCATCAGAATACACTCAAGAAGCCACATCGTTGCATCTTTTAATTATGACAAATATTACTTAAGTACAACTTTATATCAGGAAATCAAAACATTTTTCCAAATCCTAACATACTGAATTTTCAAACAGTTTTAAAAACACATGTCAAAATGTACAACCTTAGAGCTTCATTTTTGAGTCAAATAACATCATTTATGAATGTGAGGTTATACACAACGTATACCAAAATTTCCCTGAAATAAACTGGCATAACAAAATTGTTTCTGATTTAGGGAAAACTAGACAGTAAAATATTTTAAACTGGTATTGAAAGCATCATAAATTGTTTAGTACCTGAGCAACTCTAATCTACATTTACTGAAATATAGAGAATTTGAATTTGACATTAGAAAAACTATAAACTATCATAATAAAGTGTTAGGTTTTTTTATTGTTGCAATACAGTATTATAACTTACTGTAACCAAACTAATCAGCATTCATTAATTCATTCTTTCATTTTAGTTTTGTTAAAAATTTGGCAAAGTTTTGATAAAATATTACTGCCAATTGTAGATTTTATTCCCCATTTATTTAAATATGTCTTAGAATATTCAAATGTAATTTGATTAGTCTTGTTCATGCACAAACGAATTAATTCCAGTATGCACACTGGTTACTAATTGAATTAAAACATTTTAATGTTAAGTTTGAACTAACTTCTTCCATTTGAAGAGATGACTCAATCATTTCTGCAATTCTCTATCCCAGGATTTGTACTTCCTTGTGTAATGTTTATAGCCATAGAAAAGCGAGAGAAAAAAAAAAAGTTTTAATTATATTTAATTAATTTAAAAGTCTTGCAATGATAAGGCTAAATAACTATTTTGAAAGAATACAAAAAATAGTCACTTTCAAACTTGCAGAGGTGTAATTTCAGTCATTCTTTAAACACTTTTTCGTTCAGAGCAGAAACTGTCAGCTGAGCTAACAGAAGTTTCTATTGATTGCTACATCTTTGGTTTACAATTACTGCTCATTTTTCTGTAGCTTTTTGTAAGATTGTCCATTGATCTAATAACTACTGATACCTAATTTAAGAAAGGACATATGTGAAAAAATCATCATTTTCAGTTTTCATTTCCTTATATTTCACTGATTTTTTTCATCATATGAAATACTTTTCCTTAAGAGTTAATGTTAAATATGTATTAAAACCATAAGTCTTTTTAGACAGAATGTGTGTGTGTGTGTGTGTATGTTGTATTTGGTTTTTGTTTTTTATTTTTTGGTTTGGTTGGTTGTTTGATTTTGCTTTACTTCTTATGTAAAAAGGAAGTAATCATAATGTGGTTCTGAAACAAATTGAAGAGAAAACATTCAACAGATCTGATTCCTATATTCTGTATTTTTCTTTCATGTAAAAAAACTAATCAGGTTTATGAAAATAGTTAACAAAAAACACCTACCAAGAAAATCCTACAAGAGGCTAACTATAAAAAATAGAACCAAAGGGTACATAAAATAATTGTTACTACCTTCAGTCCTGATGAATATAATACAAAATAATGCCTACTGAATCTATCTGAATTTTGCTGTTTCTAAAATATAAATTTTGCAAAGTCCAAGTCACACTATCTAGTATGTATCATTAATATAAAGAGGTCTGTAGTAGATAAGCTTGGTTTTGATTTTTTTAATTAATTAGCATCAATACAGACAGCTTTTTTCATTTTTGTAAAAAATTTTCTGAGAATGAAAAATAACCCTCTTTTAGAAATTGTGTTGTTTTATTAATATAAATTACCCACTGGGAAATATTAAGGAAATCCTTATTACTATTATTGAAAATCTCTTAAGTATGTATTATTTTTAATTCTCTGGAAAATAAGTATTTAATGTTTAAATTCCAAGTAAAAAGAGAATTTCATTATATGAAGATTAATGTTTTCTTTTTACTCGCTCAGAAAAGTTATAATCCTCTTTCCTGTTGAAAATGAAGTCAGCAGAGCTACTTGCTTAACCTAGCATTTTAGATTTTTTTTAATGTAACAAAACATAGGACAAAATATAACAAAACAAAAAACTACACATAAGATGTATCTGATACCTTTCATAAATTCTCTATGTAATGTTTCTTTTTCACAACTTATAGCACGGTAAAAGTTCATTATGTCATAATATTCATAGTCCAACCAGACGCCATCATAAAATAAATGTCAGCATAACATTGCCTACTGTTTTTTCTCCTTACTTTCTATGAAGAAAAAAATTAAAACAAATTTGTTTCAGAGAATTCAAACATACAAATGTTACCAAACATTACCTAAATGGGTTATTACCTGTCTAGAGAAAGTGTTACTGTCTCATTCATTTCCGGTATGTCATCAGCTTGAACAGTGATGTTGATTGTGGTGTCACTTTGCCCAGATAAAAACACAACAGAGCCATTGAAGGGACCTATATCTTCCAGAGTCACTGCTTTTGAATTAAAGCCAGAGGGCTTCAAACTCCAAAAGACGGTAGCCTGACCATCAGTCCCATCCCGATGTAAGGAAATGTATACCTTATAAAAAGAGAAAACAGAGCAATTTCTTCTGAAATATCTGCTCACAAATCATAAGCTTTTCAGTAAGCACATGCATATGTTACATGAATACATGTATTCTGTATAGAGAAGCAAACTAATAAATGACAAAAGCACAATTGAACATATCTTTTTTATGCATGACAATAATTTTAGATATAAATATTTTCATTAGTTTTTGCTAACTAAATTTATTTACAAGATTCCCCCCACCCAAAAATGTACCTAACCTGGGATTTGTTAACAAAAATAAGTAAATATTTTAAAAGCCAAAGAATTATGAAAACCATAAAACAACTTGCTTAAGAATAAATTTCAATCAGAGGCTCTCTTAAAAAAAATTTAATATCACACTAAAAACTGAAAAATACACTTTGGTGATTAAAACTGGAAATTTTTACATTATATAAAATGCATCCTAAAGTGATACGGACAAAAAAGAAAATAATAATACAAATAAGAATAAGAAATGTTTCTAACCAATTCAATAAATGCAGTAGAAACGCAAATCATGGTTCTGGGTTACCTCGGACAAGTTATTTAACTTGTCTGACCTCAATTTCCACATGTGAAATGAAGCCTGTGGTTCCCTATTTTGCAAGATTGTGGTGAGGATTTAGAGTGCCTCTCCATAGTAGGAGCTAAATAAATGGAAGCCATTATAATAACTCTGAAACAAATTGTATTTGGTAGTTTTATCTAAGTACAGTACATCTGAAATATAATATAATATATAATTGTAAGAGGATCATTGTAGATCATGATGCTTTTTCAAAGAATATAAATAAGTACTCGATAGTAGGTATGCTATTCTTTTTAAACTTCAAAGAAAGTACCCTCTTTGCTCTTTAACACAGAAGAAAATGGAAGAAATTTTGCTCACTAACCATTTTCTTAATTTGGCTACCAATGGTCACGGTTCAAGACTAGTGAGAAAAGATTCTTAGGGATGACAAGAAAAGTAACAGAGGGCTGAACTTTTAAATCACTCTAGGGAACAGGTGATCTAGGCTGCAGAAGAGACAGAGGGAATGAAGAGCATCTCCCCCTCCTGCTATCTCCCAGAAGGGGAGGACTGCAAGTTCACAGAACTCAAAAATTTCCCTAAAGGCTAATTTCCTTCAAGGGAAAAATACAGAATTGTAAATTTACAGCTTTATAAAAAATAAATAAAAGCAATCCACATTTAAGAACAAACTGAATGCTATAACTCCATATTCAAAAGTAAACTCGAGGATAGGAGCCAAGATGGTGGCGTGAGTAGAGCAGCGGAAATCTCCTCCCAAAATCACATATATCTATGAAAACATAACAAAGACAACTCTTCCTAAAATAGAGACCAGAGGACACAGGACAACATCCATACCACATCCACACCGCGAGAACCCAGCGCCTCGCAAAAGGGGTAACATACAAGCCCTGGCCCGGCAGGACCGGAGCACCCCTCCCCCCAGCTCCCGGCGGGTGGAGAGGAGTCAGCAGGGATGGAGAAGAAACCCAGGACTGCTGAACACCCAGCCCCAGCCATCTGGACCAGAGCGCAGACAAAGTGCATGCGTGCAGTGCTGGATACTAGGGAAACAGGGTGGCAGGACCAGTGAGCGGGTGCCTGAGGCCGACGTCGGAGAACAAAGAAACGGGAGAGGCCATTTTTTTTTCTTTTTTTTTTTTTTTCTTTTTTGGTGAGTGCTTTTTGGAAGTCTTAAAGGGACAGGGACCCCAATACTAGGGAAACAGGGAAGCAAGACCGGTGAGTGGGTGCCTAAGACCGTCACCTGAGGACAAAGAAAATAGTGCTTTTTTCTTTTTTAATGATTTATATAATTTTTTTTTTTGTTTTTTTTGCTGTTTTTGTTTTGGTTTAGAGAGTGCTTTTTGGAACTCTTAAAGGGGCAGTGCAGGGCACTTGGTCCAGAGGCAGGGAATCTGGGGATCTCTGGGCACTCTAACCCCCTGGGCAGCAGGGAGCACAGAGGCCCCTTACGGAGATAAATAGCCTCCTGGCCGCTCCCCCTCCAACGGGGCTCCACCATTTTGGAGGAACAGCCCCAGCCAGGCCAAGCCCACAGCAACAGCGGAGATAAACCCCAAAGCAACTGGGCAGGAAGCAGAAGCCCTGTCTGCGCACAGCTGCCCAGCACAAGCCACTAGAGGTCGCTATTCTCCCAGGAAAAGGCTACAAACCAACAAGAAGGGAAGCTCTTCCAGCGGTCACTTGTACCAGCTCTGCAAACTATCTCTATCACCATGAAAAGGCAAAACTACAGGCAGACAAAGATCACAGAGACAACACCTGAGAAGGAGACAGACCTAACTAGTCCTCCTGAAAAAGAATTCAAAATAAAAATCATGAACATGCTGACAGAGATGCAGAAAAAAATGCAAGAGCAATGGGATGAGATGCAGAGAAAAATGCAAGAGCAGTGGGATGAGATGCAGAGAAAAATGCAAGAGCAGTGGGATGAAGTCCGGAAGGAGATCACAGATGTCAGGAAAGAGATCACAGAAGTGAAACAATCCCTGGAAGGATTTATAAGCAGAATGGATAAGATGCAAGAGGCCATTGAAGGAATAGAAGCCAGAGAACAGGAACGTATAGAAGCTGACATAGAGAGAGATAAAAGGATCTCCAGGAATGAAACAACACTAAGAGAAATATGTGACCAATACAAAAGGAAAAACATTCGTATTATAGGGATACCAGAAGAGGAAGAAAGAGGAAAAGGGATAGAAAGTGTCTTTGAAGAAATAATTGCTGAAAACTTCCCCAAACTGGGGGAGGAAATAATCGAACAGACCATGGAATTATACAGAACCCCCAACAGAAAGGATCCAAGGAGGACAACACCAAGACACATAATAATTAAAATGGCAAGGATCAAGGACAAGGAAAGAGTTTTAAAGGCAGCTAGAGAGAAAAAGGTCACCTATAAAGGAAAACCAATCAGGCTAACATCAGACTTCTCAACAGAAACCCTACAGGCCAGAAGAGAATGGCATGATATACTTAATGCAATGAAACAGAAGGGCCTTGAACCAAGGATACTGTATCCAGCACGACTATCATTTAAATATGATGGTGGGATCAAACAATTCCCAGACAAGCAAAAGCTGAGGGAATTTGCTTCCCACAAACCACCTCTACAGGGCATCCTACAGGGACTGCTCTAGATGGGAGCACCCCTAAAAAGAGCACAGAACAAAACACACAACATATGAAGAATGGAGGAGGAGGAATAAGAAGGGAGAGAAGAAAAGACTCTCCAGACAGTGTATATAACAGCTCAATAAGCGAGCTAAGTTAGGCAGTAAGATACTAAAGAAGCTAACCTTGAACCTTTGGTAACCACGAATCTAAAGCCTGCAATGGCAATAAGTACATATCTTTCAATAGTCACCCTAAATGTAAATGGACTTAATGCACCAATCAAAAGACATAGAGTAATAGAATGGATAAAAAAGCAAGACCCATCTATATGCTGCTTACAAGAAACTCACCTTAAACCCAAAGATAAGCATAGACTAAAAGTCAAGGGATGGAAAAACATATTTCAGGCAAACAACAGTGAGAAGAAAGCAGGGGTTGCAGTACTAATATCAGACAAAATAGACTTCAAAACAAAGAAAGTAACAAGAGATAAAGAAGGCCACTACATAATGATAAAGGGCTTAGTCCAACAAGAGGATATAACCATTCTAAATATATATGCACCCAATACAGGAGCACCAGCATATGTGAAGCAAATACTAACAGAACTAAAGAGGGAAATAGACTGCAATGCATTCATTGTAGGAGACTTCAACACACCACTCACCCCAAAGGATAGATCCACCGGGCAGAAAATAAGTAAAGACACACAGGCACTGAACAACACACTAGAACAGATGGACCTAATAGACATCTATAGAACTTTACATCCAAAAGCAACAGGATATACATTCTTCTCAAGTGCACATGGAACATTCTCCAGAATAGACCACATACTAGCTCACAAAAAGAGCCTCAGTAAATTCCACAATATTGAAATTCTACCAACCAATTTTTCAGACCACAAAGGTATGAAAGTAGAAATAAATTCTACAAAGAAAACAAAAAGGCTCACAAACACATGGAGGCTTAACAACATGCTACTAAATAATCAATGGATCAATGAACAAATCAAAATAGAGATCAAGGAATATATAGAAACAAATGACAACAACAACACTAAGCCCCAACTTCTGTGGGATGCAGCGAAAGCAGTCTTAAGAGGAAAGTATATAGCAATCCAGGCACACTTGAAGAAGGAAGAACAATCCCAAATGAATAGTCTAACATCACAATTATTAAAACTGGAAAAAGAAGAACAAATGAGGCCTAAAGTCAGCAGAAGGAGGGACATAATAAAGATCAGAGAAGAAATAAACAAAATTGAGAAGAATAAAACAATAGCAAAAATCAACGAAACCAAGAGCTGGTTCTTTGAGAAAATAAACAAAATAGATAAGCCTCTAGCCCAACTTATTAAGAGAAAAAGAGAGTCAACACAAATCAACATAATCAGAAATGAGAATGGAAAAATCACGACAGACTCCACAGAAATACAAAGAATTATTAAAGACTACTATGAAAACCTATATGCCAACAAGCTGGAAAACCTAGAAGAAATGGACAACTTCCTAGAAAAATACAACCTCCCAAGACTGACCAAGGAAGAAACACAAAAGTTAAACAAACCAATTACAAGCAAAGAAATTGAAACAGTAATCAAAAAACTACCCAAGAACAAAACCCCGGGGCCGGACGGATTTACCTCGGAATTTTATCAGACACACAGAGAAGACATAATACCCATTCTCCTTAAAGTGTTCCACAAAATAGAAGAAGAGGGAATACTCCCAAACTCATTCTATGAAGCCAACATCACCCTAATACCAAAACCAGGCAAAGACCCCACCAAAAAAGAAAATTACAGACCAATATCCCTGATGAATGTAGA